CTTGCAGCAGAAAAGTGAATGGACTATGTGTTAATCCACGCCACCATGCCTGCCCGGAGGGGAAAGGGTGTTGCTCCCTTCTGCCCTTTTCCCTCTGGAAAGTAAGATGGTGGCCGCCTCGGAGCCTTTTGGAAAGCCATGTATGAGCCACTCATGATGGGGCAACTGAAACCTCATGGCAAGGGGGGCGTTCCCGGCTCATACTTCATGCCCTACTGAGGTCACGAGTTGCCCCCCACGAGCAGCTCTCCAGCACGGCCATGGCTCCAGAGCTACAGAAACCAATCTTATATTTATCTGACTCTCGGCAGAAATACTTCCAGACTTAGTAAGTAAAATACCAGAAATCCAAAATCATTTGGTTCTTGTAACCAGCTGTAGAAAACAAATTATTTCACAATGCCTTTTCAGCAGGTCTTATTTTGGGGTGTAAACTCTAAATAATAATGGTGCATATTTTGTTGAAACAATGAATCTAATCAAAGTAGATAGAGTGTTAACTAGAATTCATCTGCCTCACAGGCATTGGGAGGGTTGGGAGGGGGGTTTATTGGGGTTCTTGGTGATGAAAAATAAGTACTGGTGAAGGGAAATGTGTTTGATGATTACATGACCGAGACAAACCTGAAAGCTTTGTAACCTTTCCCACAGTGATTCAATAAATAAAAATAAATGAATAAAACAAAATTACACAGGTTAACCTCTAACATTGGACATTATCTTCCATGAGTGCTCATTTTAATTCATATTTTTGACACTAGCTTTAATCTCCTCCTTTACACCTTATCTCAAACTCTAAAGTAGTATTTTTGATATCATTGTCCATGAGATCAACCTGATCTAATACCATTTTGAGTTAAACATTACCACGAATATCACAAACCAATTTGGGTAAAAACAGAGAAGTGAATAGAAAGAAGCCAAAAAATAAATAAATAAAAGAGATTTTGGCAGAGTAGCTGAGTTCTCAGTAAATTAAAAAAGACTGAGCATTGAGTTGAAACAAGTGAGCAGGAAGTTCACTTGTTCTCATCTTACTATCCAGTGTATCCAATATAGGTCATTCCAAAAGGCAGCTTCCATAAAGGTTACCAGAGGTGTTACATTGAAACCTTTTTCAATTTATTCCATATATAAATATTACATACAATTAATATGTATGTAATTTATTAATACATATTACATCAATACATACAATTGATGACACTCTGTTGCTAAAACATAATAACTTATGAATACATCTTTCAAAAGTCAGGTTTTCATAGGCACTTCATAGTAATCAATGTTATATTACTCTGTTACGTACATTAAACTATTCAATGTCTTCCTGCAATTTAGTTGTTGAAATTTCCTCTTCTTAGTCTTTTCTTTTATACCAAGGTTTTTCCATTGTTAACTTAATAAATGAATGATTTGGAAAAATAGAACACAGATTTTAGCCTAAGTATATTTTCTTTTTGACTTAGGTTGCTGATTTAAAATTTAGCAGTGTAATTAAAAGTAATTTGAATAGTTAATTATATAATGTTATAGTTCTCAGTGTTTCACTCCTTTACACAGAGCGTTCATCATATTGGAGTGCAATTTATCACTGAATTACAGATACAAGTGCAATTACATGTTAAATGGAAGCAAACACCTACAAATAAATGCTGGTTTTCTATAAAAAATTTCTATGTCTATGACTTTCAAGTAATTATTATATGACAAAGATGAATGGAAAATTTGGACCTCCTCAATTAAGTTGATTTTGCAACTGTCTAGTGTGCAGTTTTAAATTGTATTTTGACCTTTCACATTAAGGTTTAAGCCATGTCTATTTACACATGTTTTGACAAATTGACTGATGAGTTTAATCAACCAAATTGTCTACTTAGTCAAACAAATGCTTTGACTCCAGTTTGCTTACTTATTTGTTTCTTTGTTAAATTAACTCTTTTTAACTTAATTTAAACCTTAACTGTTTTTAAATTAACTGTTTTAACTTGATAAATCAGCAAAACTTAGTCAGATAATTCAGTGTTTGAAAGCAAGTCAAATGGAATTTTTTAATGGCCATACCAAAGTTAGGAAATACATTTTTCTCTCAGGATACGCTTTAAAATTTCCTGTAATATTTTTTGGGAAATTCTAATTTCAAAGGCTTTATGAAGGTAAGAAACAAATCATTTATTTTTTTTTAATGTAGGAGTACTGCTATTTATTCAGCCACTGATTAGCGATTGAATTGGGCATAAACTCCACCTTAATTTTTTTTCATTTTTTATAATTTTATTTATTGAATCACCATGAGAGCAGTTAAAAAGCTTTCAGATTTAAGTCTCAGTTATACAATGAAACACTAGTACCTTAACCAGTGCCCATTCTCCACCCCCCAAAACCCCAGTATACCCCCTTCCCACACCCTCCCCCTACCCCTGGGGCAGATGATTTCCACATTAATCTCTCTCTACTTTGATTACATTCAATATTTTGACACCAGACCCACCATTCTTATTTGGGATTTTACCCCAACACTGAGATCTGCCCAAAAGGCAACAGTAGACAATTTGTTTTCTTTTGCTGATTATGAATAACATATGATATTGTGTGGCTGCAGTAGTGGCCGTGCAATTTTGAAATTTCAAAATTCTAACAATTAAATCTGGACGGATTTCTGCCAAAACCTGCTGGGTTCTGGGATTCGTTCCTGAGTCTCTTTGCTCATGGCTATTAAGCAGCTTGATCAGGAGCCAGAAAGGCCATTAGTGGGCGGTGACTCGGGATCTCTTTGGGATGGAAAGGAAAGGGCCGGCTCCACCCCATCCTGTGAGGCACGCGTGTCTCATGATTAAGGGCCCATACCTGACTGTCCAATAACCTCTACAGGATGGCGGCCACCGAGCCTCCTAGGGGGAGCAGGTGGAGGGACAGTACCCTTTCCCCCCTGGAATGGCCCAGAGACAGTAACCTACTGAGTGTTCCAGATGCATTTCTGCCAAAAGCCACTGGGTTCCAAGATTTGTTTCTGAGTCTCTGGGATCATGGCTTGATCAGGAGTCAGAGAGGCTGTTCGTGGGCGGTGACTTGGGAAGTAACAAATCATTTATGATTTTATTTTAATTGACTTAAATAATAAAACAAAATTTAAGGATTAAGTCATTGTTTATTATTCAGTCATTAATTGAACATTAAACTTATTCATGAAAATTATTTTTAAATTATATTCTTCATAGTAAAATGATGTTATTTACATACAGTATAATTTCTGAAAAATAAATAATAAATTTTATTTTTTAATTTCCTTTCACAATTAATGTTTAGTAAACAACACGTGGCAATCATTTAAGCATGTTTCTATCTTTGTGCACTTTAGCAACTTAACTCCTAGGGAAACATAATTTTTCACCTATAACGCTATATAATTAAGAATCTCATGTGAAAATTAGCTATTTTTTGATAGTAACCAATTAAAAATCTATTTATATGCTTTTAAGATAAAGGTTATTGAATTTTAGACAGTTCACCTTTGGACTTTATTCCAGTAATGTACTGAGTATCTTCATAATCTTAGGTTTGGAAACTTAAACTTGATACAAAATGACAGTTTTCTATAAAAAGCGTTAACTGTGTTCAGCGAATACCTAAAATCAACACCAAACTTGAAAAACCTGTTTCTCTAATTATACAAAAATTAATGTCTAAGGATCTTGTGTTCTTAGTACTTTTCAAGCTGCTCTTATGCATATATTTAAGCAGGCATCTCAAACAAAATTAAGAATTATGAAGATATAATTAACTTAAATGATATTTTATTGTTACAAACAAAACATTATTTTGCCTGTCAATGTTTAAAGGAGTTGACTACATTCAACTTTGAAGAGAAACATAAGTGCAAGTTTAATTGTACATTTTGATTAAGTCCTTGGGAAGTAGGAACACAGCAGTGTGCACTGTCGCTGTGTCTGCCTCAGGCCCAATACTTAGATCTCTGACCATGCAGTGCCAGGCTCATACCCAGGATTTTCAGGGGAGTCTGTGATCCCAATGAGTATAACTATGTGCTCCAGTCATTGAGATATCTCCCAGTCTCCTATTACTATTCAGTATTTTTGCGTCTGATTTTTGTTGTTTGCCAATCTCTCTCTCTCTCTCTCTCTCTCTCTCTCTCTCTCTCTCTCTCTCTCTCTCTCTCTCTCTCCACTGTAGCACTATCCTCCCATTGTTGATCAATTTGCTTGAGCTTGAGCAGGTCCAGTAATGTCTCCATTGTGAGACTACTTGTTCCTGTCTTTGGCATATTGAATATGTCATGGGTAGCTTGCCAGGCTTTGCAGTGTAGGCGGGATACTCTAGGTAGCTTGCTGGTCTCTCCAAGAGGGGAGGAGGAATAGAACTCAGGTCGGCCTCATGCAAGGCAAACACCCTACCCACTTCTGTTAAAATTCACTTAAAGACTTCATGGTATATGCTTGTGATTATGTGTGTGTATCCATCCAACAATTTTTTGCAATGGTTTTAATAAAACACTCTTATAAACTCATTCATACACACACACACACACACACACACACACACTATTGACATTACTGACCATTACTCAAGAACCCATCTATATATTCCCGTTGAGTTTTTCAGCCATTGTATCAATGTTTCTAAAGTTTAAAGTATTTTCTTTACATCTGCAGGAAAACATTTCTCTTACAGAGGGTTTTTAAGAACAATTTTTCTTTCATGGCTTGTTCTTGTATTCTCTTTTTTAATTGAATCACTCAGAGATATACAGTTACAAAACTGTTCATGATTGAGTTTCTATCCTCCAGTGTTCCAACATCCATCACTTCACATACCTACATTCCCCTCCTACCCCACCAATTTTGTTATTAGGTTTTAAAAAACTATAAAACATACTGTTTTAGGTTATAATTATTCATTGTAACTACATCATTAGGTGTTCATAAAATTTTCTCCATAAGATGAAAAAGCAACAATGTAACGTGTGTTCTTCTCTCCATGCACAGCTTTCAGCCGTGCCCCAATCCCTATGGCTGTGGTTCGCAGAGAACTCTCTTGCGAGAGCTACCCCATAGAACTCCGCTGCCCAGGAACAGATGTCATCATGATTGAAAGTGCCAACTATGGGAGGACTGATGACAAAATTTGTGACTCAGATCCTGCTCAGATGGAGAATATCCGATGCTATCTGCCAGATGCTTATAAGATTATGTCTCAAAGGTATGATATGTTTAATATAATTTATTTTGTGCGTTTAATATGGAACCTCAATCCACATTTGTGGGACATATTGAACAAAGATAAGAATATAGAATTATATGGTTTAGGACCATTTTAAATACATTTTCACTATCTAGCCATAACTACACGTAAATAAATGCTACTATTAGAAATTGTTAACTGCATGTGGAGACTAGTTACATATATTAGATGATTAATTAAGTTTCATCACTTTCCCTGTCATTTATAGAACTGTGTTTATGAGATTAGAAAACTAAATTCATTTTTATTGCTTTTATGTACATACTTTTGATAGTTCTAAGAAATTTGTTAAATATATCTCATTAGGGCTGGAGCGATAGCACAGCGGGTAGGGCGTTCGCCTTACAAGCAGCCAACATGGCCGACCCGAGTTCGATTCCTCCACCCCTCTCGGAGAGCCCGGCAAGCTACTGAGAGTATTTGATATGCCAAACACAGTAACAACAAAGTCTCCAATGGAGACGTTACTGGGCCCGCTCGAGCAAATCGACGATCAACGGGAGGGCCTTGACCTTTTACCTTTATATCTCATTCCAATTATTTTTATCAGTTTAAGAAAAAAATTAATTAACAGCTTTTTCTAATAGCAATTCAGATATAATAAAGAATATTGACATATGATAACTTGGCTTGGATAAATGAATGAGACAGAACTTACCAATGAAAAATTAATATTTGCCTATCTAGTATATTAGTTAATTTATTTACTACACTTAATCTGTCTATAGCACTACTGTATTATACTGATATTAATAAAAGTGCTACAAAACATTCCTGGATAGGAAATATCTTCAATTCTAAAGAGAATAAGACTCTGATGTATTGTGAATAGCAATTCATATATTTGAAGTTATTTCATATTAAACATCTAAGAAATTAGCTAAATATGTAATTTTTGTTAAATACTTAGTAACTATGTGACATATAACATCATCAATCAATGTTATTCACTTTAATTTTCATATATACTCTTTTACAAAAAATTTAAATGTAAATGATTTAATATACTTAAGTTGTATCAGTATTTCAATTCAGGTACTCATTCTTCTAACTACAGCCTTCTTTAAGAATAAAATGGGGGATTTCAACTTTCCTCTTTCTGTGCTAAAAGTTGCCATTTTTTAAAATATTTTTGGCTTCTTGTTACTTAAAAATCCTGAAACATAAAATGGAGATTCATAAAATGGAGGTAGTATTTATTTTCATTAATTACGATTGCTTTGGCTGTTGATATAAATTATCACAGGCATTATATAATCAATTTGACTACAGTTGAAGGAAAATTGTCTTTGGAAATATGTAAGCCAATTCATGACATAATGAATAGTGTTGCCAAATGAGATTTAAAATTAAGGATTTCATTAGATATGCACTTGACTGCATTTGGTTCGTCATGTGTCAGTTTTTCTCATATGTTTAACACAGCTACAAGTATGAGTAAGATTTTTGATATTCTGCCCACCAAAATTATAACGTCATTTCACATAAGTATAATGATGGTCTTTCAGGTGTGACTTTTTATGAGTAGCGTGAAATGAGCACTATTACCAAATGACTATTTTGTTCGTCTAACTACCAACACTGTTTTTCTTTAGGATTCATGTGGGGAGTTTGATGAGGAAGAGATTCTGCCTTTCTCTGATTAGGTTTTTATTTAAAATGCAGCACTAACTTTTCTAGTGGCTTGATCTCTGTAATTTTCATTAATACAGTTTTAATCCTTTCATTGGTATTATTAATGGCTAGCAGAATAAGCTCTTAATCTTAAAATTGTTACTGAAAAAAAGTTACAGTGGATTCTCTTGATTCGTGAATTATAAGGAATATGTTCATAAAGCTTCAAATCTGCAAAATAGAATTCTTTTAATCACCCTTAGTAAATCATTTGTAGAAACCCTCCTGGTGTTTTTTAAACTAAAAATTTTAATTTTGCTCAAGAACTGTGATAACTTCTCCATTGAAGCAAGTATGTCCCTTGTGTTTGCTCTTTCAAATACATGATGATTCTTTGATTCAAAGGAAATGCCAGGTTCCATTTTATAGACTCACAGGTCATGATCACATGTACTTAAGTAAGCTATTATGTAAGTTTTCACTTATACCAATCACAGTATACTAAGTGTTGCCAAAAATAAATATTAGTTACATGTACGTGTTACTAATACTCTTATGGACAATTAATGCCTTTGAAGTAAAATTGAAATAGACAACATGTTTCCTAAAACACATTAGTTATTATGTTCTTTTTTTTTCTTCTTGCGTCACACCCAGTGATGCTCAAGGGTTACTCTTGGCTCTGCACTCATGAATTACTCCTGGAAGTGCTTGGGGGACCACATGGGATGCCAGCGATAGAACTTGGGTTGGTCACATGCAAGGCAAACATCCTACCCGCTGTATTATCACTTCAGCCCCAATTGTGTTCTGTTTCATATAAACTTATAGAAAGACTATGACCAACATTTCTAAGCACACCTCTAATTTGATGATTATTTCTAGACATAATGGATTATTTGTGTATCCATGTATAACCTTGCCAAAACACCTTCATGATTTGTTTCAATGTCCTGATTTAGATGTCACACACAAGGGCTGACGTGATACGATATATTCATACAGTTGCTTGACTGCATGTACATAAATAAAACTGAATAGAGAACTGAAATGTTAAAAACTGGGAACCAGAAATTGTCCCTTATTCCAAATCAGGCCATCAAGTAATCAGAAAAAATAATTTGGAAATAAGAATTATGACCCCAGTATGTCCTTCACTGGGGCTACACCATAGGAGAGTTTAAGATTAAGCAGTGGGATAATATAAATAAACTTAAATTATTTTTTGAAAAAACATAAGAAAGGTTAACAGAAACCTTCAAAGTGCTGCATTTTGGGGTGTGTTTGCGTGCATGCATGCGTGCATCTGTATGTGCGTGCGTACGTGCGTGCATGTGTGTGCGTGCGCGTTCATGGTTTCTGTGACAATCAGCAGAAGTGGCCTTTTTGTGTCTTTCCTAATCATCAGTACGAGGTTGTCGTCTTGACAAGGAGTTGAATCAGACTGTTTATATTTCCCTACGAGTTCCCTGGCAATTAGAGGCATGATGCAGTCTGACCTACATCAGTTTCACATTTCGAAAAGGATATGCTTTATTTCCACATTTTCCCCGACCAGAACTATGTTATCTTTTATTTGCGCTTGAGAAACCTTTTTCTTTACTGCCCAACATATTTACTGCATGTTCTTAAGCCCAAGTGAGTTTGAATGTCTTTCTACCTCTCCCCTTCCTAATGTTTTTTTTTCAGTTATCCCACCATAACACTTCTGAAAATATCAAAACACATTTATCCTCCTCAGAATTTACAGTCTTGTTCTTCATTATCTTCATTGTCCCTAAACTTTGATGAACTTAAATTATAACACTTTCAACAGTTTCTACCTATAAAGTAGGTAGTTTCTCGATGACAGGTTTTCTGTTTATTTCACTGAAAAAAAACAACTTCCACTAAATAAATATGTTCTTTTTCAGCATATCTTTTAAAAACTGCCTTAAGTCTGTTATCAGAGTGATTTTTTAAATAACTACAGAGTTATCATCAGCCACTAATGGAAGTTTTTCTGTTTTTAACCCCATCAACGATTGGCATTCACAATATGTAGCTCACAGTGACAGGCACTTGAATTCACTAGACCGATAAATTTGCCAGGGTTACCACCTACCCACAAAATTATAGTATTGTGAAAGATAAAAATCTGATGACTGTGTTATTTATATCTCATTTATATTTATTGAGGGGTTAAAAAAACGGAAAGCAAACTCATTCATCAAGAAGATATCAATCACGGACTGGTCACTGGGAGGAAGGTCTTTGAAGGTCAACACCATTAGTGAAAATGAGACCAAAGTGATGCTACATATGCCAGTGGCTGAACAAGGAAAAAGAATCATTTAAAAAACAAAACTAAATGCCTTTACCTAGTCTTTCCTGTCCCAGACATGTGTACTTTATGGTGTTCTAGCACTGCTAAATCTAAAAACATTCCCAAATGTGCCACTGTTTGAGGTTAACACTCTATTCTCATCTTTCCACTTATCTTGTACTTATGACCCCTGCCCCTCCCCCCATTTGGTGTGTGGGCATACCCAATATTCCTCAGGGATAACTCTTCATTCTACACTCAGGAATCACTCTTGGTGATATTGGGAGAGCATATTTGGGTGCCAGGATCAAGCCTGAGTTGGCCACATACAAGGCAAGCGCCCTAACCACTGTACTAGAGCTCCAGCCCATGATGCATATGTATTTAATATTATGTATTTAATAAGCTTTGGCAATTTTATGGTAAATAATCTTGCTTCTACTGTCTTCTCAATCCCCTATTAAGGTTTCTTTTTTATTCCTTTGTTTTCCTGAGTGCTCTCCTCTCATCTCTTAATTTTGAGTCAGACTCAGTGGCACTTAAATTTTACTCTGAGCTCTGTGCTCAGGGGTCACTTCAGGCAGTGTTAGAGACCATATGTTGCTGTGAGTTAAACACAGGCATCTTGCATGCAAATCATGTGCTAGTCCTGTTGACCTATCTCTCTGGGTCATGGAGTCTTTTGCATTAGATACATTATATGTAAATATATGACATTTGAATACCATATCTTTTTACATTTTCATGACAGATTTTCACATTTTTAAAGTGTATAATTTTAGTTCCATAAAATTGCCTATATTTTCAAATGTAAAAGGCACATGAATATGTAAGTATTTACATATGTGCATACACATATATATATAGAGAGAGACTATAATATTCATACTAAAAATGGCATGTTAGTATATAACAGTGAATTTTCATAGATTTAGCTAATGTAGCTGAGAAACCAATGAAATCTGAATTGCATTTCAGATGCATTTCCTTGTGCTTTTTACCAGTCATGCCTCCCCTATTGAAACTTATAACACCCGAG